TCCAATGTTGCTACTGCCTGGCCCAAAATGCCCATCCAAACCACCCAAAAACATTTCTCGCAAACAGCGCATCTGAGAATCTGAGTGCTGTCTGCACGGGGCCTTCCGACTTGGCCTTTTGCCAGACCATGGCTTGAGGTGCGAAGCTGCCAAAGCGGGAAGATCAAAAGGCAGATGCATGGTCGCCAGTTGCAAGACAGAGCCTCAGGGATTGAGAAGGGCCTGCTAGGTCGTTCTTTCAGTTGTGCTTGTTGATTTTTGTCGACCTGGCAGTTGCGCACAGATTAAAAGGGAGGGCCATGTTTAAAAAACAACAAAAACAAATAGCGTTTTGTTTTAAAGGGTTTTTCTGTTTTTCGCTGCATTCACAGTTCGTCTGTTTGTTTGTTTTTGCATCCTCTGCATTGCCAGTTCCGCTGCGGCAGGTGGTTTTTTGGCTTTGTGGCTTTTGGCGGCTTTCTGGCTTTGGCTTTTTGCATCCTCTGCTTTCCCAGTTGGCTTTTGGCCTTGGCTTCCTGCATCCTCAGCATCGCAAGTTTCTCTCTGGTGCCCCCCGCCACCCCCCTTTCGATTAAAATGCACGCCTGATTGAACCATCACTTTTTCGATCATCATGCGACAACTACTTTTTAGATTCTTTGCCCCTACTCGAATCATCACTTTTTCGATCATCATGGGGGGGGGCGGCAGCCAACCCCCCCGCTGTTTTTGTATATACAATTTGTTGGCCCTAATTGAATCATCACTTTTGCGATCATCATGGGGGGGCTGCCACCCCCCCTTTTTTGATCCTCATGGGGGGCTGCCGCCCCCCCCAACCCCAACCCCCCCGCTACTTTTTGGATTTTTGGCAGAGATTAAAATGCACCCCTAATTGAATCATCACTTTTCCAATCATCACGAAAAGGCTGCCACCCCCCCCAACCCCCCCGCTACGTTTTAGGTGATTTACAGGGATTAGTTTGCCCGTATTTGAATCCTCACTTTTACCATCATGAGGGGGACCCGCCCCTCTTTTCAACATGCATACATAAATGCCTACCTACCTTGCCGCAGAGGAACTGATGATGCTGAAGATGCAGGAAGCCAAGGCCCTCGATTTGCTGGTGATGCTGGGGGATGTTGAAAACGACGCTGATGATGTTGACGGACTAGCGTAACATACGCACATTTCGCGAGAGAATGCTGTAAATTACAGCATTTTAGTAGATGGACGGAAAACAACAAAAATCCCAAAATCAAACAACAACAAATCCCAAATTAAATCTCGACCCGATTAAAAATGCAGAGACTGGTCTTTCGTTCTGCCCGGGGACTGGCAGTTTTGCTTGTCAACACAGCAGAGTGTAGCTCAGCATATGATACGATATGTTCAGTTGGATTTGTCAGTGTGGCATCGAACTCCGTCATTTTGTGTCACGTTGATATTAGATGCCCAAGGTTCCTAGTTTTGACATGTACTGGAAGATGCCCAGTAGTGTGTCTAGCATCATGATCAGTCAATTAAGCCAAAGCATCTCCTATCCGGCCCGAATCGTGTCAACCTTGTCATATAAACAGTATGAATTTATATCCTAAGTTTCAAAACAAGCAACCATGACATAGCTGATCATTGAGTCGCTCTCATGTTTACCGATCGTCTTACTGCGCATAAGATAGCACTATCCTGCGTAAGTCAGTGTCATCACTTGCTAGTCCGCCTTGTCAAGCCGGCATTGGCAAGAACTACGCACCATCGTTGTGACAGGTAACACGCCCTATGCATTCATCATCGTGTTCGAACAACATCTCTGTGCATGTTATTGGACTGTTTATACAACGAGCAACTATGACATGGCAGACTTTAGCATCACATGGCAGACTTTAGCAACTTTAGCATCACCATGCGATACAAGCCCCATAAGGAGACACAATGGCCCGGGTAGTGCCTTTGGTCGCACTCGAGGGCACGCTTCATGAATTAATCGTGCGCAAGACTCGCGTTGTTTTTCTTTTTCAACCTGTTAACAAGTTGCTGCAGGCATCATGAGATGCTCAAGCATCACCGGCACCTGCTCCATTCGCAGATGGGGGAAACCAAAAGAAACTGTTTGACGGGGAATGTCCCTTTTGAGAGTTGCGCGTCCGTTTCTCAGGTTCGGCCGGCCAAAAAGCAGCGCCGGGGTCAGCGAGTCAGGGAGCCCAAGAGAGTGAGGACAGCATGGTTGCTCTGACATGGGGGGTTGATCAATATTCCCTTCGGCCAAAAAGAACCGAAGCTTGGGTAGGACAAGCTTCGCAGCTCAGATTCCGTTGACATGATTGTTGCAGCTTGTTGTGCGAAGATTGTGAAATGTAGCGTGCATTGCAGCCGGATAAATCCGGATGTGACAACGATCGCACCGGCTACTTCATACATGTCTTTCCCATGATGTAATTGTCACCTCGGCCGTTCTGAGGGAGTGAATAAATCGCACAGCACAGAGTTATGCAGCCATTCAACAAATATGTCTCGCCTTTTTCCCCCGACAGGCCCAGATGGCAACAACAGCAGCTAGCTAGATGTAGCCAGCGGGTACGTCACCTTTGCGGCGTGTTTATTCGAAATGACTGAATCATTCAGGAATTAGGTTTTCAAACTGTTTTTTGCGAGACATGGATGGGGCTTCACCATGCCGGTACATTCAGTCCGGAGTGTACGTCGCGTGCGTGTTGATGCGCGGGAGTTGCATCAAATTGTTTTCTATCAATTTCCGGTGTTTGAGTGATCTCTAGTGGCGAGAACGGGCCCAGCAAATCTGGCTTTTGTGCTGGAAACTGTGGGTATGCCCCTTAAAGCGACAGCTAGCAGAATGCCTTGACAGATGCATTCAAACGAGCGATGCATGCCGATGCCAATAGAACATCCTGCCACAAGCCTCAACAGGCTTGGTTCACATCTAGCTTGCAGGAAGTGGAACTTGGGTCAGGTTCAGCCACTTTCAACCATCAATGAACCCTTTTGCATCCGACCCAATCAGGCGAGCAGGCAACTTGGGGTAATCTGGCATACACGGCGGTTCCCATCAGCTACCTCCAATGAATCACTGAGGCTGAGAGGGGCAGGGGATTAGACAACTTTCAATGCTTTGAAATGAGGCTGATTTCGTCTCCATGAGATGAGCCGTGCCCATGAGCCCCGCACATTAGGCACCGCATCACGCGCCGGCCCGTCACCCAGCACTCAGGGAGTGGCGGTTCCTGCTGGGTTTGCGGCAAGATAAGCACCAGGAAGGAGTTGGCCATTCAAATATCTTTGTTCGAAGTAGGTTGCAGCGTGCACTGAGGTCCACAAGTAAAATGCTAGGACCGAGACGAATTACCAAACGAATACGGGATCTTTGACTTTTCGGGGAAGTTGAACGTACCAACTGCTTGGCAAGTCCCAGCATTTCACACACAGCCATAATGTGAAGGCGCATCCCGTTTGCCATCATTTCAGCATCTGGCTGGTGAGCAAATACTCTTATGAACCCCACCCAAAGTCCCCGAATGCGTGATCGCAGTACAGCAACAGCAACCTTCCGACCCCATCGCACCTAAGACACACAATTTGACATCCTTGAAACTAGGAACATGAGTCAAAACAGTCAAACACTATGACCAATATGAGTAGGCAACTGGAACCAACACGTTCAGGAAGTACCGAGCAAGAACCATGATGATCCAAACAGCAGCTCTTGTCACAGCTACATTGTACATCAGCTTGACTCGAAGATGCGGCTACCTCGCCGCGGTGCAGTGGGTCAACCACTCAAAGAAATCGCAAGACAGCAGCTTTTGAACTTGTCAAGGTTAAGGTGTGGCAAAGGCGAGGCATGGGCTCAGGCAGCTTTGTCGTCTCAATGACCCGGCCAGGCACACCCTGGCCTTGGTTCAAGTGAGCGGGTCGGAAGCGGGCAAGCAAATTTTCGGCGATCCATCGGGCCATGGCCTGATTGTGAAGGATGCTGAGCCACGGTTTAAACAGATTTAAACAGTCCTAGATGGCGTGACCACATTTTCCAGAGGTTCTAGCGGTGCTGGCAGAATAGATCATGCAATTACGCCAGCGAGGTCATGTGATTTGGGTGAGCAGTATGCCAAGCGTGCGAAGACGAAACACGAGAATAATGAGCGTAAGAATCATAATGAGGTGGAGGAGAATGATTCATTGCCTGCCAGCAGGAATCTCCTGGTACCACAAAACATGATTCAAGCGTTTGATCACGCCATGCAGAGGCTGCGTGAGAAAATAGCGGCCACATGCGCGTCTCGACTCGGTACCCGGACCTTCCACTTTGAAATGCTGAGGGACATACCAATAGCCAGGATTTGATATGGCCAATAAGCCCCTTTTTCCTGCAGCACTGTTGCTAGAAGGCCTCCATGGATTGACTGAAGGAGCCGTTGTGGGCGTCACCCAGATGGTGTGTGTGTGTGTGACTCCGCTTGAGTTCCGGCCACTGGCCTTCCCATTCGGCCCGGGTTCCATACGCCTTAGATGCCCAGAAAGGCTCGATCAGTGCCGCCCCTTGAGAGCTTGGTCCCATGACACGTGGAGCCCCTCAGGCACTCTCTGAGTTTCCATGACAGGTGTGTGTGTGTGTGAGTGAGTGTGTGGTTGGTCAACACCAGTGGTAAACAATATGGATGACAGAAACTGCCAGCCAGTGTATGGTCAGGGCTTTGTGTATGAGTGATCCTGAATCACGTCAACTGTGTGAATGTGACAGCGTGTCTTTGTTCAACAGGCAACTCGTTTTTGTGGACTATGCTGCTTGATTGGGTTCATTGAATTGACGTTTGTGATCACCATCCATTTTCTATTTGGCACCCATCCCCAAACATGCCAAGCTGCGGCGTGCTCTACCGGTGTGTGTGTGTGTGTGTTTGCCAAATTGTATGCCACCAAGAGGTATCCGTTCTTGGTCTGAGCAACTTTTCCACGACCCAGGGAAATGAGTTACGTGACTGCAGAATTCGATCACGCTTTCTGCCAGATTCTTAGCGAGCTGCCACCGCACGAGAACATCATACGCTGCCTGGGATACTCCATCAGTGCGCCGAAGGGTTCAGGCCAGTGTTATCTTCAGGATACGCTCGGCTACCAGTTGCCCACTGAAGAAGCTGTTGGGTAGAGGCCTACTTGCAGGTGATGTGATGTCATTTGCTACCTATGCGTGTCCTTTTCCACCTTTGCGCGTTCTCCTGTTTGTGTGCCTCTGCGTTTTTGTTTGTGTGCGTCTTTCTTTGTGTTTGTGCCTTCCCATTCTTGGTGCTTCCAAAAGAGCATAACAGCATGCTTTGTTCGAAGGCTTTGATTACGGGTTGAGTTCACACGGCGAATTTGCTGATCGAAAGAGGTAGGTTGCACAGAAGTGGGGGTGTCAAAATGATGAACTTGATATGTTGTTTCCGAGAGACAGAGATCGGACTGAGATTGGCTGATAGCAAATCAACACTGATTGGAGATTCCATGGTCAGGCGATGGGCTCAAGATGTGCAAGTCACAAGAGATATCTGGTCTACGGGGTTGTCAATGCACTAACGCAGACAGAGGTGTCAAACTTTACCTTTTTTCCTTCAGGACGGCCGTGGGAGCACCAGCTGTGGGCCAAAGTTGAAAGTTGGGCAGCAAAATAGTTGAGCCTCTGAACCTTCTATGCTGACGGGCGCAAAGAGCTGGTGGCACGTTTGCCCATAGAGCAATTGGTTCGCCCTTGGGTCCAGGCAAAAGAGTTTTAGATCGTCACGTCACCGAGCAAGTGAGCCCAGCCCCATCAGAAGCGCAGAAAGGTGGGGTCCTGTAGAGGATGTGGGAATTTATGGGCTCGAACTGCCGATTCAGAGAGCCCTGATCCGGAAGTGGTTGACAGCTTGGCAGGCGGCGGCTGCGTGAAAGTTCTGCTGGAGCTTTGCAATGGACATCTCCTGGACTTCCAGGAAGGGTGTTGCAAAGATCGGCCGTTGGCTTCCCGAGGCTTGACAGGTCGTTTTGGGGAAGAGATATGTGACCAAACTTCGCATTTTTTCGTGGCAGTTCTCTTGTACATATTCAGTGCGATGGGATGAGTTGAAAGCCATTGGGTCTTTTTCGGACTCACAATGTGGGAGCACCTTAGACAATGACTTGGAAGGGCGACTTGGGAGCCATGGTCGACCGGGCAGCAGCTTTCAAGGGGGAGGATTGTTTGAATCATCGCGTTACGCAATGCGCAATGTAAGGCTTGCTAAGTTGTGGAAGAAAGGACAGTATTTAGTACGCAACAACGTTTAACATACCGTCGAACCGTTCAACCGGTCAGTCATGGTAAAATCTCTCCTTCACCCGGAGATCATTGTTCCCGCGGGAACCTATATCATTTTGGTCCACCCGTTTGGGCCTTTGGGGGGGCTTTCTGCTTTGTTCGTCGAAATGGCAACTCTTTTCCAAGCCGCAATTTCTGACAGGATTTCCTCCATTTCACTTTTTGGAGGGTTGCAACAGTGGCCATCGTTTCAAGGGAAGCCACTAGCAATTCATCAACTTTCGATTCGGGGAAATCCAGGTTCGACCCCTGTCTGACGAAGAGCAATGGGATGGTAACATGTCAGTGCCCATTGCAGTGAAGATTTGTCAGACGCTGTAGCGGAAGTGCGATAGCAACACAAGGCCCCAGAATCTCCAGGAAGGATGGTGGTCAAACATGCTTTTTCGGAGCGCAAGCTCCGAAGCGCTGGCTTTGAAGTTATTGGGCTCTTGATGTGGTGCCCTCTTGTCAAATTGGAGAAAGGCCAGCGCCTCGAAGCCTGCAGTCAATCACGCTGAGACTGGCAGGAGATCCGCGTAAGCTCGTGCGTAAAGCCGCACGGAAGCTTTGGTTTCGCTGGACTCGGCTGCGCGCAAGCGGTTTGCGTGAGCGGTTTGCGAGACCTTGCGAGACCACGCGAACGGCTGGGCTCGTGTATAAGAGCCGCCGAAGGTTTCGCGCAAGCAGCCAGTGGAGCCAAGAATCATCACCCCCCCCTGCCTGGGCCCCCTTGCTTGCATGGCACTAGTCTTGCAAACAGCATCCCGTTGACTGTGGCTGGTTCAGCAAAGTGTACACCGGAACAAAGCACAGCTCTAAGTTTGCGCAGGGGTTTACCAGGTAGTGAGTAGGGTGCCGATCGAGGCGGCAGCCATTCCTCATGACCGGGCCTTTAGCACGTGGCGGACAGCGCTGGCAAGTGGTCGGTCTTTGGCAGGCTTGAAGTGGGCTTAAAAGGAAAGCATACGGCTGTTTTGGTGGTCATCAGGATCATGACATGTGGTAGCCTGTTCATGGGGTATGTTTCAGGTGTCCAAACCTATCCAAGCCTTCCTAATGGCTTTAGCTTGCAGGGCGTTCTTCTCACACCCCAGTTCACGCATGACAGTATGCTCATTGATGGGAGTCAACGGCTGTCATTCACCTCTCCGGTAGCACAATATCAGTGTCAGTCCGGTTTCACTGACTGGTCATGCCCGGCTGGCACCCGCACGTTTTGTAGATTCCATGAAGGGGAACGCCACTCGTGCCCGGCCTGCGGGCCAGGACTCCAAGGGAGGGAAGCTCTCTCCCAAGGAGATGATGGAGCCCTTTGTTCAGATCGCAGAAGCGGCTGGGGGCCCATGTCAGTCCAAATATGTCCATTGGCCAGAGAGGGAAATCCAAACATCAGGTGGGTAGAAAGGTTCAGAGCTTTGGGTAGATGCAGATTGTGAGACCTGCCAGTGGTCCGTGAGCCAGGCTGACTCGCCAAAGAAATGCGGATTGGCGCTCAAGTGCAGCGTCAGGGTCAAGTACATGCACGCTAAAGCTACTGGGAAGCCAAGAGACTTGAGACACAAATGGCCCCTGCTCGCTGAGTGACCCATCCCCTTTGTGTGCTGAGCTCTCACTGAAGGTCCGGCACCTGCACGCTCAGAGGCGGGGTGGAGAGCCGACCAGCTGTGCCTCTGAGAGTAAAGCAACATGTGGCCATGGGTCAAAAGCCAAATCGTACCCCCAGTGAACATCCCAATCCCAGGCCCAAAATGGTACCATTGGTTTCGACCTATATGCCAAGCTAGGCTTCCCCGGGGCCAAGGCCAAATACTGGGCCGCAGGAAGAAGGAGTGGTTCTTGAGTCCGCAAGCCTGTGAAGTGGGAACAAAAAGAGATTGGATGAAAGCGAGGTGGATGCCTCTGAATGGCCCAGATCATATTTTTTCCTAAGAGAAGTCATAGAAACGCATGGTTGGCATCCGAATCCTAGATGAATCCTAGGGCATTTGCTGTTCTCAGGATTCTTAGCTATTGGGATGCACCCATCTCGCCCTGAGAGCTAGAGAGTCAGGCCGCCCATCCAGCATCGTGACCTCAAAGTGGAGAACGTGCTTCAGGCCATTGGGAGCCTGAGACCGGACTGACTGGCTGAGTCGCACTGCGAGCTGAGAGGCAGCGCATGAATTCATTTCTGCAGGGCGCCGACGGGAAGTGGAAGCTTTGCGACTTCGGCTCCTGTAGCGGCCTGGCGAACGGGAAGGGAGTCCACGGATGGCCGATGTTACTTCCCCGGAATTAGTTCCCCTTTTTGATGGTGTTTTGCTCTTTTTGGGGTCCCCATTTTTTTCCACCACCGGGCAAAAAAGAGATGATTTTTTTGCTGGGGTCCCAATTCCCGCCAAGGTTAAATCGGATTCGGCGTGTCTAGTTGCAGCTTAGATGAGGCGGTTTGCTTGGACTCGATTTGTTTTCCAACATACTTGGGGCCACTGCGGTAACATGGCGCTTGCTCGCAAAGCATTTGCAGGATATTTGGGGGTTCCTTGGACACGTGACGGCTTTGTTCTTTTGACGGCTCTTCACGTATACCTGGCACGGGATTAGTTGCTTGCTCTTAGGTTTATAGTTGAATCAAACGTACCAGATGGGCTTGTCCTGACGACTTGCAAGTTGCATTACTTGAATGAGCATGCTAAAGTTGTTGCACATAGCACAGCTGTCTGATGCGTAGGATCGAACCACACAGCCAAGACGCTTGTACCATGGTCGGCTTGCCACTATTTGTGAGGGCATTGAATCTTGTAGCCTCAAAGTCTTGTAGGGTGATTAAGGTCATCTACTCTCCCTCCAACAAACATAGCAGCTATTGGAACCTGGAAGATGGTTTTCCTCTTGATATCTTGTGTCATGTCATATGGTGGGAGGGAAAATACCAGGAAAGTCTTCTGCCTGAGAAGGGGCCCGTCGGGGTGTTGACAAGGCACCTGCTGCTTCGAGCCGGAGCTGCCGCGGGCGCAGCTGCAGCGGCTGCAGGAGCGTCGCTGGAAACAAGGCCCTTTGTGGATGCGCCACTGGAGCCTTTAAAGTTTTTGGGGACCCAAATGGCATTGTTTCTCAGTTGTTAAGGCTGACGACAATTTGTAGGGTCATTCTGAGAGAGTGTTTGATGAATTCGGTGGTCCCAGCGCCCGTTTGTTTTCTGTATAATTAGGTCCCTACGGACCATCAGCGAGATGTTTCAATATTTTTCAGAAAGGGAGGGCTGCGGTGGTTTGTTTCCCGTGAATTCATGGCAGATGAGGTGGATCAAACAAGTTCGCTTGAAGCTGAACGCACATGGCTGGTTGCAACATATGCAAGCAACGGTGAATCATGTTAAAGCAAATAATCTTGTCACCTTGCCACCAATTGAGGATGGAGTGATGGCCTTTGAAATGGGTGAAGACTTGTGGTTGTTGCGCGCATTCCAGCAGTGCATCCATTCCACCAGGCGTGATGCATAGGTTATTTTCGCTGCGGCTTACAAGATCTGAGTGCTCAGACGGCCCAGCACACTCCAAGAGGCTCGACTCTTCAAGGTAAGATGGGTTTAGTCTGAGATCCGCCCAAGGTCAAAGGAGTTGCCAGCGCGGACCCTTTTTTTTCCCGACTGGGAGCTCCAGGATGAGATCGACAAGACGGTCACGATGCTATACAGGCACTGAATCGCTTCTTGTTCTTCGGATGGATACCCTCCCACTGGCAGCCATGGCACCTGACGTTCGGCGGTCCCTCCAAGAGGAAACTGATCTTCCAGGTACCCTCCCACATGTTAGTGGGAAGGGTAAGGAGACCATCACTAGTTGATTTATTGAGCTTACGTGGATGTGGTACGGGTTGCCATGGGTTTTGGCCGACGTGAAAAGCGGAGCTCGCCCTTGTGGTTCGAGGCGAGTTCTGGAACTCAATACATGGATTTGTCTCCAACCGAGCCCAGAATGCGTCCCGTAAAACGACAAGACCTTAGCTTGGAAGGGGAGTTTGGCTCACCTCCCATGGTGGGCAGCAGGACCCTATGGACACGTCTCTTGTTCACGAGGGATCTTGACCTCCCAACACACTTATGCCTTGGTCAATTCAGAAGAGCGCATGGTTCATTTTGGCCAGCGTAGGGTTTGTTCGCTTTCGTGGCAAGATATGCCGAGTTCTTTGGACTGGTGAGCCTCAGCGCCGTTGTTTCGTCAATCTGGGTATGGGTCAAATTAAACCACCAGGGGACCGCAGGTTTTAGTCCATGTTTCCATTTACCAGGGTTCCATTTGGGGGTACCTATTTTTGAGTCATGGCCATCTGATGTTGGTCAGTTGAATAATCACGACCCCTTGACCCCCAAAGAGGCACCCCAGAATGGTGTGCATGTATGTGATGTTGGAATGTTGGAGGCCCCTTTTGCTTTGCACAGACTTGTCGAATGGCAATGACCATTTGGCTCAAGATGCCCAGAAGATCAAATCCAGGGTTTGCGCTCGCCTACCGGACTGGGGTGAATAAGGGTCCCGGTTTCTGGTTCGCTGTGTTTCTTTCCCTGTTGAGTGGTTATCAGCCGTAACTGCTTTTTGGGATTAGGCCCGCTCAGTCCGGTAGTGAGCGCACTTCGTGCATGGACCCGGCTCCGGCCTTCTCGGCCAGAGGACACAGGGGCGGGTGGGTATATCGTCGAAGGCTTTACTACGAAGCCTTCGACGAGCTCACCCGTTGGGCTCGGCGTGAGTTCCAGGTTGGGGTGGCAAGAGTTTCCTGGGAGGAAGCTTCGGACTTGCATCGGAGCTCCCTCCTGGCGTGGCAGGCCGATTTCACTGAAGAGAGCTATCGGCACCTGCGGGACATCTACCCCGACCTCTACGACGCCGTCATCGCCCGAGGCCGCCACCAACCAATCCCAATTCACCAACGGGGACAGGCCGCAGCTCAAGGCGCGGCAGGGCAGGCCACACCAGCTCAGCCACAGCAACAGCCAAGCACCCCATCAAGTCCATCCTCCACCACAACTGTGTCCACCATCAAGGCTGCAGCTCCAAGCGCAGCGCAGACACAGGCAGCAGCAGGGCCGGGAGATCAGGCTGCAGCTACAAGCGCAGCGGTTCCACCAAGAACCACAACTGAGAGCTCGTCCCGACCTTCATCCTATCCACCTGCAACTGCGGGTAGGGGAAGGTACACTGCTGCGGGGAGGTCCTCGTCGAGGAGGAAGAGGACACCGCCGGCAAGGCGACAACCATCCCTTGTACCGGCGCGGAAGGCGTCAACCAGACGCCCGAGATCCAGAACTCCCCTCAGGGCTGCAGCTCCAAGCGCAGCGGGGCATCCCTGAGCAGCCGGCAGATGATCTTGGCGCCGGCCAACTGCGCCTACCCGACAACCCGGGTGGACAGCACAGGGATCTGGATCCTCCAGCGATACGAGGGTGCCGCACGACCCACGCGTCGCGCGACGCACCCGGTACCCTCGGACGACCCGTACGACCTCCCAGACTCGTATTGGCATCATCCGCCGAGGGCAGAATCCTCTTCCGACCCTCCTCGAGGCCACGGGAGGGCCGAGCACTACAACCTGAGTGAGTCGCCACCTCCAGAAAGGTCGGCGCAAGCCGTTTACTCAGGTCGTGCGGCCTTCAACCCGGACAGGGTGTACGAGGCTGAGCAGGTCAGCATCAAGCGGCCTGCACCTGCCGGGCGCGACTCATCCACAGCACCCGCAACAAAGACCGCTCGGATTGTTTTTGCCAAGCGGGAAAGCCAGGTCAAGGCGCCCCCAGAAAGCGTACTCGACCAGGCAGCTGCGGATCGCGCTGCGTCGAAGGCCATCCCCCCACCACCGCTGAGAGCACCACCAGCACCCCCAGCACCAGCGCCAAGGGCTGCAGCTCAACGCGCAGCGTCGGTTCCAAAATCGATCAGCGAAGTAAGGCGGCCTGAGACACCGCCCAGAGCGGCGCCACCCTCACCTGCGCCGCAGGTCCCCACCGGCTCCCAAGTTGCCGGTGAAGCAGCCGCCCACTGCAGCTGCCAAGGGCCCCGTCCCTCCCGGGACGGCGTTCAGTGCGCCTCAGCAGGAGGCGTCATCGCCCTCGACTGGGCATAATGCGCTTGACATTGGCGTCGAGCCCGACGGTGCGCCCAAGGATTGGCTTTTGCGTGCAGTATCTAAACTGTATAGACGTCATTATCCGATCCAGTTTCGCATCATCAGTTATTGCCAGGCCCGGGACACCCGGGAAAGCACCCTCCGACTTGCCACCCAGTTTTCCGAGGTGTGCAACAACGCTATTGACGGCTTGGGCACACTCCCGTTCGGAGACGTGGTCTTGACCTGGAAACGGGTCGGACCATCTGGCAAGGCTGCAGCTTTAGCGCAGCTCGGGGCGTGCGCCATCGTGGACGACAACAACTCCATCCTCAAGGAGTGCCGCACTGCAGGAGCCCTCGGCGTAGGTGTCGATCGGCGAGACGCCAACAGGGCGCTCTACGACGCGCTGAACGAGCTCCACGAATACCTCACTCAGCACCGACGCCTTCTCCGCCCTGCCAGGGTACTCGAGCAAAACGAGTATCTCGAGGAGGCTAGCCGCCGCCCGCAATCTGCAAGGGGCGGCCGAGGACTTTTTCGTTGACCTGGCACTGCCGGAGGCTGCAGCTTAAGCGCAGCACGTGCACCGGTTTCCAACACCGGTTGTAACATAAGTTTTCCAAAGGCCGCAGCTTAAAGCGCGGTGTGTCAGCATACGTGAGCCTGACCTCGTGTGAAAGGTGCATCCGACATGGCATCAGGGATTTCCCCACCTTCGCATAATAGGTCAAGGTCAACCTCTGGGGGAGAATCTAATGAGGACGACCCTGAACTAGGTGATATTTCGGTACCCGCAATGTCCGTAGTTCCTGTAGGTTCCAGGGCATCCTCATCAAGAGATAATCGTAGTCGCGATCGCAACACGACTCCTCCCCGTAGGACTCCCGTTGTAGAGGAACCTGATTCAGACTCTACAGCAACTCCCCTTGTGTATAGCCCTCAAGTGCCAGCACCCGACCCATCTAATAACATGAGTGCTGCCGCGTTTGTGGCCGGATCGGCAGTGCAACGTGCGCATCAAGCTTCGCTCATTGCTGATCAGGCTGCCAATGTTGCCCTTCACGAGCATCGAGCCGCGGACCAGGCCAGACAAAGGCTAGGGGAGGTTGCCGCTGTTGCGCAACAAAGGGAGCAGACCTTTAAACAACAGGCAACTGAACTGACATACCAAGCCCAGCAAGCAGTCGAACGAGCACGTGCTCAGACAGCATTAGCTGAACAAGCTGCACAGCATTCTCAACAGGAAGCTCAAGGCCATGTTCAACAGGTGAGGCAGGAAGCCGAAGGCCATGTCCATCTGTTAAGACAGGAAGCCGTAAGCCATGTTGAGCGTGCTAGGCATGAAGCACAACAAACAAGGTCGGCCGCAGAAGCCGAAGTGTCGAGGTTGAGGCAGGAGGCCATTCAAGAAATTTCCTCACGGGAACAGAAGATCCTGCAGCAAAGCAAAGTGATAGATACATTAGGGAGTGAAAACCTTTTGTTGTCGCAACGCCTTGCTGACCTAGAAAGGGCTGTCGCATCCATGGCACAAAATGTTCCGGTTCCTCCGGATGAAAGTTATGAAAGTCAAAATCCTACGGATCCCGGGTCATCGGGGCTAAATGACGTTGGACGTGACCTTCAGGTTGGATCACAGGCTCCCCAAGTTCAAGGGCCGAGTGATGCCACACGTGAGCAGTGTTTTCGAAGGATGCAGCTCTAGGCGCATCGGGAAGTTCAAGTAGCGACCCTAAGGTAGCGCCACGTGCCCCTGTTGGTTTCCCAAAATCCTTCGCTCCCCCACAGCCCGACATCAAGTCAGATGCCAAGCGTGTGCAAATCCAGGATGGTGATCCCCGTGCACAACCACAAGGACCACCGGACGTCGCTCGGACTCAGGATGTAAGGGGACCTGTAGACGTACAGGTACAAATGTCCTCTTTAACTGAGCTGGTCCATCAACTTTCAAAGTTAGTTGAGGCCCAGGTAGGGGTATCAGGGGCTTCGCCCCCGATCGCATCGCCGCCTTCCGTAGCTGTCCAGCACACAACTGCTATCCCCACGCTTAGGCTAACAAGTGCAAGTACAAGTCAAGTGGCTCAATTCCCATCCTCCCCACTCGCACCTTCGGAGGCAAGCTCCGACACATCCTCAGAATCCGGTGACAAGGGTAACACTCCCTCATGCCGAGTCTGTGGTGGCCCGCATGATGATACCGCCTGCCCCTCCCTTTCCATGAATGGGGGGCAGGGACAAGGTACTCAAGCAGCAGATGCAAGTGGTGGGGATGCGCTACAAGCGCATCAGATCCGGCCTCGTATGAGGAAACCGTGGTTCGCATAAAGGACCTTAAGGATTTAGTGCTTCCGCTTTTGTGAGAGAACGCCGGCCAGGCGCGTGGATATGTGAATCAAGTCCTCATGGCCATTGGACGTCTACAAAAGACGACCGGTGACGAGCTCTATCTCTGGGCTCAGGATTGCCTGACCTCATCCGAGGAACAACTCAGGGCAGATAAACGTTTCCCACGCACAACCCGCGAGATAGCCGCCAAGCTGTTGAGGACCTGTCGCAAAGGCAAGTTTGGGTTGTTGTTCCAAAACATGGTGG